TTCTTCAGCACAGTCTGGAGAGGTTTGCAGTGAAATGTGAGTGTCATTCCCTCCAAGTCTGAAGGCCATAGTTCACGGTTCTCTGCAGAAAATGCCAAATGTCTCCCTTCAGGTTGAGTTCCTTCCCCAAGTGAAGGAGTTCTGGTATCTTAGGTTGTTGTTCATGATTGAAGGTAAAATGGAGCATGAGATTAACAGGTTAATTCTTCTTGTTCAACAGTAATACAGGTGTTGTACCGTTGTGGAGAAGAGAGAGCTGAGCTGGAGGGCAAAGGTTCAATTTACCAGTCGATCTAGGTTGCAACCCTCACCAGTGGTTATGAACTCTGGGTAAAGAATGAAAGAATGAAATCATGGATACAACTGACCAAATGGAGCTTCCTCTGTAGGGTGGCTCAGCTCACCCTTAGAGATAGGTTTTAGAGACAGGCACCAGTTGAGGTGGTTTAGTCATCTGATCAGGATCCTCTTGGGCACCTTCCATTGGAGGTTTTCAGGGCACATCCACCTGATTTTGAGACCTCAGTTTAGACCAGGACATGCAGGAGAGGTAATATATTACATCCGGTGTGGGATGATCCTTACTAACATATGATAAAAGCCACCCTGTCACTGATCTCACCAATGTTTTACTCAAACTAGACTTTCTGGAACATGTTTCATCATCTCAACTGTACCCTACAACAACAGTGCAGCAGTAGGATGTGGGGCTGTCTTTGGTCTCTGATGTCTTTTGCTTCCACAACCAAAGGTTTTCTCTCTTTAAGCCAGTGGGAGCCTGTTGGGAGAACTGGGGCATTTCCTGGTGGCCTGATCGTCGTTGTGGCCTGTGCTGTTAGCAGCCATCTTGACCAGCAATAATATAACAAGAAGGAATGAGATAACAGAGCTCTTGCATCTATTGTTGACGAGCAGTCGGAAAAGTGAAGAGTTTAGAAAGTAGTCACGTGATTTCTGTTTACCCTCGTTCAGAACCAGAGAGAGAGAGTGCACTGGAAAACTACTGCCCCCTAACTTATTGACATAATCATAAATATATATAATATATTACTATATACTATATATAGTGCGTAGCCTCAAATTTCGCCTGTAATAATAGAAAATTGCAAAATTGTACTTGTATTTGCATTGTTTTCATTGCAGAGTAACACTACCCAGCATTTTATTCTTATGATTCATATTCATTTATTTATTTATTGCCTCAACACAGTGGTCCTCCTTTCTGTTGATTTACAATTACCTATGAAAGCTGAAATTTCCCGCTGACCACAAAGATGAGTTGCCGACTGTCATGAGTGGTTGACGGGATGTCAGGCTTATTCATGCAGAGACGAGATGTGAGGTTAAACAACCCGTAACTGTTACACTTTGTGTGTGTGTGTGTGTGTGTGTGTGTGTGTGTGTGTGTGTGTGTGTGTGTGCGCGCGCTCGTGTGCCACCAAGTAATTAATGATAAAAGTAATTTCCAATTAGTATGATACAACTTACTTTGATAACACCAACATGGCCGCCACAGAAGCCCAGAGCTGATGTAAGGATACTGCAATGACTGTCATTAGTGTTGTCTACTGTGTGTGAACAACAGGCCAGGCCTCGGGGGACAGGCCTGACTCCAGCCAGTCTGGAAACAGCTAATTATCACCCAGTGGTCACAGTGAGCTGGTCTCATGAGACGCTCTGCTAAACCAACACCTTTTACCTCTGTCATCAGAAACAAGTGTCAAAGATCCAACATGATGCTTTTAGACACAGACTGAATGACTGTAGCTCTTGGCACCAGAAAAGTTTTATTTTATTGTCGTTGTAATAAGTAAATTAAGTAAGTTAATTTGAGTAATATTCACAATTATGTTTGAGGTGGTCAACAGGTCATTATCTCTTTTGTCCTTTGAGAGCTATTAAACACATTAACACAACTCCAGTCTGGTGCAAACCCCCACAGACATGACCTTTAACCAGTCACTTTAAAAACAGGAACATAATATGATGTAATATAATATAAGTATAATAATAAGTAATATAGTATTTAAAGCTACTTTAATGCTATTACTTTATACATGCTGTAATTACATAACAGTTTAATTTATACATAAAATATATGATGCACTTTTAAAATGTGATGCCTTGTTTTAGATGGTGGTTCTCAAAGTGGGGACCCCCAGCAATCCTTGAGGAGGCTCCTGGGGGTCCACGGCAGAAAGGGGATTCATTTATTTACACTATTCCATCCATAAAAAACACAATGACAGAATGTATGACTGTTTAGGTTTCAAACACTTTCTTTCATAAAACATCCAAAAGTAAAAAATTTAGGGTCCTTGATGTGAAAAAGTTTGAGAACCACCAACTATCAAACTGTATCAGTGCAAATTTTAAGCAACGTCCATAATCGACCTTCAGTCACATTAATAATCAATAGTTGCTTAATTGTGAACGGTTGAAGGTAGTGTTGAGTTTTGTATTGCAGTAACTTTAGGAGGGCAAACAGGAGCAGACCGATGTGAGGCCTCTTTCCAAAATGTGACCAATTATAATCATCAGAGGGAATCAGATATAAAGGCCCTGGTCACTATTTTAGGAAATACAGTACCTCCGCATCCTCTGCACTGTTGGTTAAGATATATTTTAATCTATTAAATTATTAACTACATTTAATCAATAATCAGTTAATTATCAAAATCCCTAATAGGGCCTGTGTTGATGAAACATTTGCTTCCCATTTGTGTTTAAATCACTTCATCTTAACCACTTCATTTGGACTTAAAACTGAAAGTGAGGCGTCTGAAGTGTCATGAACAATCGCTCAAACTCTTTTTTTACTTGGTGCACTATCAGTAGGTTTCTGACGTCACTGAGGTTCAGATTGTGATTTCAACATGGATCCCACGTGGATTTTAATCCATGAACTGAGGAGACGAACTTTGCTCCAATACAAACATCTACGCGTGATCAGAATTCCCAGTGCTTGTGTTGCGTCAGTCCGAACAGTTATTAATACATGGCGCTTGAGGAGATGGAAGGTCTCAGCCTCCATACACAGTAACGGGTTGTATCACTGTAAAATCTGAATGTTTGCAGCCGAGATATGAAAAGATTTTCTCCTTCATTGATGGATCGTGTTTATAATGTTTCCACAGTCAGAGTTTTTACTCTCTCTGCATTCAATGACACAATGAGTCACAGAGTCACCATCTTTTCTCTCTCTTTACTGTGCTACTCTTTGATTCTGTTCATTAACGTCTCGCTCGTCGTGATCATCATCTTGGATGAAAACCTGCATGAGCCCATGTACATTTTATTATGTGTTAGTTGCATTAATGGACTCTATGGGACCTCGAGTTTCTACCCTAAGTTCCTGTTCGACCTTCTGTCGTCTTCTCAGGTCGTCTCGTACGGCGGATGTCTCTGTCAGGCGTTTGCAATGTACTCATTTGTTTGCAGCGACACGTCTATTCTTACAGTTATGGCGTACGACCGGTATCTGGCCATCTGTCGGCCCCTGCAGTACCGCTCCGTCATGACGAAGAAGAGGCTCTCCCAGCTGGTGTGCATCTCTTGGTTGACGCCATTTTGTATTTTCTCCATTAACATCCTGCTGACGACCAGACTGACGTTCTGCGGTACAGACATCCAGAGACTCTTCTGCGTCAACTGGCTCATCGTTAAACTCGCTTGTCCCGGCACGGACACCTTCGTCAATAATGTGTTTGCAATGACTACACTATCTATTTACACTGGTCATTTGCTCTTTGTTGTTTGGACTTACATGTATGTAGTTAAAACGTGCGTGAAGTCCAAGAAGGACAGGGCCAAGTTCATGCAAACATGTGTGCCCCATTTAATCTCCTTACTCACTTTCTTTGTCATCGTGGTGTCTGATCTGATGCACATGCGATTTACCTCCAAAGATTCACCTCAGAGCTTCCGAAACTTTGTGGCCGTCGCTGTCCTCTTTTTCCCTCCAATCATGAATCCTCTGCTTTATGGCTTCAAGCTCAACAAAATCCGCAGCAGAATTCTGACTTTGGTTCATGTGAGGCAAAGATGACCTTAAGCTTTATCCACTCTGTCCATGATCAAAAATGTGGAGTTTGTTCAACAATAAAACCTCCACAGTTAAATCAATGGAACATGTTTTATAGACTCCTTTATATCTTTATCTAAAGATTATCATCATGAAAGGAATCATTTCATCTGTCCCAAACTAGAGGTGAGATCGAAGCCGGATAACTGCATGTGGCAGTTACAGCAATTTATTTTATACTGAATTAATTAATTAGACTAAAGTCAAAATTAACAATCCAAGTATTTACACTCTCATGATACTGAAGAGCTGTGGGTCTCAAGACAGAAGAAACCTGACTGAAATAAGTAAAATACTTGTGTAAAATAAACCCGTAGACTAAAAACACCTGCTCTATTACACTATAGTGGGTTCTTATTGAAAAGGAATCATTTTAATTAAGATTAAAGCCTTAATACCTGCATGTGGTTTTACATTATAACTGTATACTGTATTATTTTTTTTACAGATGCACAGACAGAAAAAGTGATTAGTTAATGTTAAGTAATTTACACAAATACTGTATTTTAAGCTTGTCTCATTATTTTTACCTGCATTGACCAAAATTAAGAGAGAATTTACACCTTTATTAAAGCTGAAAAATTGGCATCTTCAGATAAACCTGAGTAAAAAATACAATTAATGCAAAATAAAAAAGACCTATACATGTGTTTTGATGAGGATTTGTTCTTTGTTTTTGACATATAAACAATTTATTCATTTGAAAATATATTGAAATGACCAAACTCCCATCTTAATGAGCTCTGATTACCAAAACATAGGAGGTAAATGCTCATAAAACAAAACTGTAGCTAGGAACAACATGAACCTATACTCCATGATAAAACTGGTAAAAATAAATAAATAAGATTAAAATAAATGAACCTGATCTGCCGGAACATCACAGTTTAACACGTTCAGGGCCTCCTCTGTGTTTAAAGGAATCTCACCTGTAACAGAAAAGGTTGTTAAACGTTTCCTATGTTGTTGTTTTTTTGTTGCTTTACATTTAGGATTAGTTTATATTCACATCCTATAAAACCACGGTGAAAATATTACTGACCTGAAGAGAAAAATACAATTTGTTGAATACAAATGTTCAAATCTCAGCTGTGTTCATTTCATGTTTTGTATCGTACATGCAGGTGACACAGTATTTCACAGTATTGATGATATTACTTCAGTGTTATTCTTATTTTTCTCATGTTACTTTATTTTACTGTGTGTGTTGGTTTGTGAGTTTTGGGAAGAACTGCTCCTGGTCACCGTGTGAGGAGGAGGAGGGAGGAGGAGGAGCAACTGCAGCGGTGGCCATGTTTCCTTACATCTGGTTCTTTTTCTGTTTCACTGTTTCTATCTCCCTCTCTGAAGGATCAGTGTTAATCACTGCAGAGGTGACCCAGTGACCATTACCCTGTGATAACCCCCAACACACACACACACACACACACACACACACACACACACACACACACACACACACACACACACACAGAACTGATAACGGCTGGTCTCTTAAAGATCCAGATGTTGCAGTGGGATTTAATGCATCGCAGCTACTGTTGTGTGTTTGTGTGTTGCCCTCTTAACACTGTGTTTGCTGCTGCTGAGCATGTCTGACCTGCTGTGTGTGTGTGTGCGTGTGTGTGTGTGTATGTGAGAAAGAGAGAGAGAGAGACAGAGAGAGAGACTAAAAGCAGCAAAGAGTTAAGAAGCTTTGTGATCTGTTGAAGTACTTAAAGTGAGTGAGAGAGCGAGAAAATGACTGATGAAGCCATTACAATGAGAGAGAGATGGAGAAGAGACCTGAACGTACAACGCACCACAGAAACAGATGGAGTGAGTGACAGGAGGGCAGGCGGGGGGGAAGAGAAGGATTTTAAAAATCCCAAAAGAAGGCAATGAGACGGGGAGAAGAGGAGGCGAGAGAGGGAGAGAGAAAGAGAGAGAGGGAGGGAGGTTGGTGGGTGGTGGATTAAGTCGGGTTAGAGAGGATTAGTGTCTGTTTTGGTTTGGTAGTAAAATAACATCCATGTCAGTCACCACTGGCTGCTGGTTCACTTCAGAGTTCACACACCGAAACTAGGAACTGAAGGGAGCTGGACCACAGGGGGACGAGCTGGTGAGTCTGGGCTTATTTTACAGTTTTGGTTGTATGTCGGTGGATGTGTATTCTATATGTGTGTGAGAGCCGGTCTACACTCATGCTAGCAGCTCTGCGACTGTACTTAGACACCGCGGTGTGTCAGCGTGCTCACAACAACAACACTAACACGCTGGTGTGTACCAGGCTGATGGGAATGTCATCAAACTAAAGTTTTGGACTAATTTTGACCTGATGATGGCGCTAGATGAAAAGTCAGAGGATCACCAAAGTTATTAGAGTTCTTCCTGAGGGGAACATGAACGTCTGAATCACATTTTGTGCCCATTGATCCAGCAGATGTTGAGATATTTCCCTGGATAAGTGAACATTTTGGTTTCAGTCTAGTGTCAGCTGGTTTCAGTCTAGTATCAGCTGATTTCAGCCTAGCATTGGTTGGTTTCAGTCTAGTGTCAGCTGGTATCTGCTGGGTTCAGTCTGGTGTCAGTTAGTTTCAGCCTAGTATCAGCTGGTTTCAGTCTAGTATCAGCTGGTTTCAGCCTAGCATTGGTTGGTTTCAGTCTAGTGTCAGCTGGTATCTGCTGGGTTCAGTCTGGTGTCAGCTAGTTTCAGCCTAGTATCAGCTGGTTTCAGTCTAGTATCAGCTGGTTTCAGCCTAGCATTGGTTGGTTTCAGTCTAGTGTCAGCTGGTATCTGCTGGGTTCAGTCTGGTGTCAGCTAGTTTCAGTCTAGTTTCAGCTGGTTTCAGCCTAGTATCAGCTGGTTTCAGCCTAGTATCAGTTGGTTTCCATCTAGTGTCAACTGCTATCTGCTGGGTTCAGTCTGGTGTCAGCTAGTTTCAGCCTAGTATCAGCTGGTTTCAGTCTAGTATCAGCTGGTTTCAGCCTAGTATCGGTTGGTTTCAGCCTAGTATCAGCTGGTTTCAGTCTAGTATGAGCTGGTTTCAGTCTAGTATCAGCTGGTTTCAGCCTAGTATCGGTTGGTTTCAGTCTAGTGTCAGCTGGTATCTGCTGGGTTCAGTCTATTGTCAGATGGTTTCAGCCTAGTATCAGCTGGTTTCAGTCTAGTATCAGCTGGTTTCAGCCTAGAATCGGTTGGTTTCAGTCTAGTGTCAGCTGGTATCTGCTGGGTTCAGTCTATTGTCAGATGGTTTCAGCCTAGAATCAGTTGGTTTCCATCTAGTGTCAGCTGGTATCTGCTGGGTTCAGTCTAGTGTCAGCTGGTTTCAGCCTAGTATCAGCTGGTTTCAGCCTAGTATCAGAGTTGATGATTTCAGCTTTATTTACTGTAGAATGATCAATCATAGAAAAAGGGGCAACACTGGCGACTCCATTCTACAGAAAGTAGCTAAGCTTTGTCCAAAGAATTGCTAGATTTTTTGCTAGGTGCTTTTATGAAAACAAAGTTGTTATAGGGGTCTGAAAAGTCGGTTAGTCTTGCGACAAGGGTGCCAAACCGAATACTGCTTGTTCATGCTAAATCTTTTTGAAAGAGCAACAGCCAACAGGGAAACTCCAACACTCTGCCAGCCGACCAATGGTGTAACCTTATCACTCAGTCACTCACTCAGCAACATTCACGTTTATAGTACTGGCCCTGTTGATGCAGCTCGGCCAAAAAAGTTGACATAACTCAATTAAACCAATATGACAATAAGTCAAAAGGGCTGTAATACCACAGCAGGTGCAACAAGCATTATTAAAACAGCCTCACAATGCTGGTTTAAACTGCAGAATAACAGAAAATAACATAGATGTATAAACTGTATAAACTTCACAGCAGCTGCAACTCTGTGTCCTAAAAGTTACGTTTCTGTACAATTCAACTGCAAAACACTAAATGCATTTAGTAGGAAATGTAATCTCTGGCTGGATCATGTTCAGATGTGACATGTATTTTTGACTGAATTAAGCTAAATTCACTAACAGCAGTTAAGTCACCGGGTGGTTTGGGTGGATGGCAGACGCACATCTGTCACAGCAGAGACCGGGTTCACATCCAGACCACCATCTGTGGTTCAGACAGCACCAGCTCTTTGGTTCAGGTTCAGTTGTGAAATTTTTCTGTGCATATATTACATTTGCATATGGGGATCTCAAAGTAAAAGAACCTCTTCCCCATCCACAGGCTTCACCACAGTGAGTTACCACGCCCAGTTTGCCATAAAGAATTTATTCTTAAACAGTCAAGATGCGTGTAAACACCAGTGGTGAATAGGCTGGTTGTCAGTGATTTCCTAAATGAGCTACAACGTTTATAAAAATAATTCATGTCTGTTTAAGGATTGGTTAAATCTAGGCAAGGAAGTTTTTTTTATTTGTTTGTTTTGGATAATTTTACTTTTATCAAACTCCAAAATACTAAATACAAATAAAAAATCTGAGTTTGAGACTGTAGTATTTCATAACAGTCCCAGGCTGTGGTATCTGTGTTGTTGATGCTCTGATGAAGCTCGGTGAAGCCGGTGACGTGCTCAGTTGACGTTTGATGACTTTCAGGTCACTGGTTAATAGAAGCGCTTCCTGAGTGACAGTGTAAGTGGAAAAAGAAGCTGAGCCAAGATAAGAAGCTAAAGAGGAGACGTAACATCAAATTAGCCCACAGTGACCCGCTGCTGTAAGAGGAAGAACTGAAATAACACAAGCTGCATTCAAAACACGACGATGCTGCTCTCTGCAACTAAATTCATCTCTAATCTAAAATTAGAGATTATTAACACACAGGATGTTATCAACTAATTTATGTCTGTAAAATAAATGGTTACACCAGTGGGGTTTGTATTTTTAATCTCAGCGAATATGAATATGCAGACACTGAAAACAGTAAAGTTTCAGTATTAAACAAACATATGAATGATAAAATCTGAACTAAAGTAAATATGTGAAACAATAGTTTTAATTTAAAGTGTCACAAATTCCACAACTGATGGAGAATCTAAAGACTTGAAGCTGCACTAATCAGTATTTAATATTAACAATGGATATGAAATGCTGCAGCTGCTCTCAGAGAAACATCTCTACCTGTCCTATACCTGCTCAGCAGCAAACAGCAGACTGACACAGTCAGAGAGCAGTTTTTGTTTTTCCTCTTGATCCATAACACAGCTTTTAAAGAAACATACAAGTAGGAGGAATGTGGGTAAACTGAGAAGGTAAAAGCACCAAATACTGTAAGTGCAACAGAAAAATAGAGAATGAAAATGAACTGAAAAGCAACATTTAGCATTTACACGTCTTACGTCTTGTATTCATGTTCAGGTATAAGAACATTTATTCACCAACTTACCTGCTGCAATCAGTGAAGGTAAATCCATCGGGTTTTAAACAAAAGGTCTAAGGCCAGGAACATCGCATGTTTGTGGTGGCAAATGTATTTTTTAACCATTTTAGCAGTTGCATGTGGAGACAGTGACATTTAAGTGACGATTTCTGTCAAAAATGAATCAAAAATTAATTTATAATAGAAAGAAATCCAACATTCCAGTAACATTTTGTCACACTTTCAGTTTCACCAAACAAGTTTTCAGCACTTCCTGCTGTGAAATGATTTTACAGTCGATGCACAGAGTTGGTTTATGAACATTTCTGTGTCACAGTTTCTGACCTGAGGTTTTGACACAAACATATTTTGTAGTTATGATGAAAATGGTAAAATAATGACATTAAGGTTTTTACATGATGATGTCATTCAGACTCTCGCCTCGACGTCCAACACACTAAAATTTGATTTACATTTATTTTCAGTGGAAACAGCCTTTTTTTCCTCTGCAGCGGGTCTGGATGATCAGCATGAGACAAGCAATGGAGCATGGTGAGAAACACACAAACACACACACACACACACACACACACACACACACACACATCCCTGTATTAGCCTCCATTAGATCCTTGATCCTTGACCTTCACTGACGACATTTATTGTTTGTTGTCTCTCTTGAGTTCAGTCCTAACCTTGAACTCAGGTCTAAATCCTGACCTGGGCTTCATTTGAATTTAATCTCATCTAAAACCTAATTCAGATGGTATTAGTGTCTCTCCGTGGGGTCGGGGCTCCTCGGTAACGGTAATCCTGTCCGGCACAGACACGTCTGTTTTTCACCCTCTGCTCAGGAGAAACCTCCAACCTCCAACATCTGCTGTGAAACTGCAGACTGATAAATATACAGATTTAGTCTGTGGAGGATCAGGGGTGTCACAGGAAAAGTAATAAAGCATTTCCTTAATTTCATATTTTAAAAGGTATTAAAAATAGGAATGGTAAAAAAGAATTTATAAAGGAACGTTTAATCCATCAATAAATACTAAATATTTAAAATTGGATTTACAAAAACAGCATAAACCATTTATGAATACATTTATTAATTCATGAATAAATTAAAAAAGTACTTGAAAAGGCAGTTTAAAAATTGGAATACATGGATTCCCTCTTTAATTTCCTTTTCCTTTTTCCAGCTGCTTTTCCTTTTCCTGTTAGCTAATCGATTAGCTTGGTCATTTAGCTTCTCCTGTTAGCCTTTCTGTGTCACTCTGAGCCTTCAGTGCTTAAGAGTGTGTGTGTGTGTGTGTGTGTGTGTGTGTGTGTGTGTGTGTGTGTGTGTGCGCACATCTGTCAGAGAGGTGCTGTCCAGTGTGGTGGACGACGTCGGTCAGGCCGTGAACAGAAACGTCAGTGGAGCTCAGCTGCTGCACGAACTGCTGAGTGCTCCGTGGCTGCACGCCCTCCTGCAGGTATGTCCTGATTCAACAGGTGTGCACTAAAACACGGACAGCATCATTATCATCATTATCAGCATCATCATCATTTGATAGGCGATGATATCGTTTCCTTTCTTCTCTCTCCAGATGTACGAGTGCCTGCTGCAGTTTCAGAGGTTGATGCCCAGCCCGTTCCTGCCTTATGCCTCAGGACTTTCACATGAGGTTTACATACACACACACACACACACACACACACACCACACACTGGTGGGGGAAGAATTCAGATCCTTTAGGTAAAGTCATACTTTTACCTAAAGGATTGCAGGTAACTCTGAGAGAAGAAGAAACAAAGTTCTGATTCTCAGATGTATGAAGTCAAGTTTCAGGAAAAGTCGAGATCTTATTATTTAAATCTGTTGTGTCTTCCCAGTTTGGAGTGTTCACATCTGACTCTGTGTTCCTGTCCATCAGATCATGACGGTCATACAGAAGGTCCACCATCCCTCAGCTGAAGCCAGAGAGCTCTACAGCCTTCTCAGCTCGCCTCACATACAGGTGTGTGGGTCAGTCACAAACTCACCTGTGTTTCCCCACATCTGCTGCTCTGTTAAAACACTTGGACCTGTCTCTGTGTCCCTCCACCGGTCTGCCAGGCCCTCCTGTCCTCCCACGACAGTGTAGCGCAGGCAGACTACGGACCTCTCTTACCCCCCCTGCCTGACGAGTTACCTGAGGACGAGGAGGCCATGAGGATCGTTTGCCTAGTGAAGAACAACCAGCCGCTGGTGAGAGAGATGCATTTTTCTTTTTCTCACTATAGATTTATAATCCAGTTTGTAACAATCAGCTTGTAAAACACAGTATTTCATCATGACCATGTCCAAATGACCGTGACCAAATGCAGAGTAGTGTTTTCACTTGTCTTTGCATTTTAGAACTTTTCTTGCAGATGTGGAAAAAAAGAGAAACAGATAAAGACCTTTGTGTCAGATTTAAAAATGTCTTAGCCACTGCTGCAGACATGTATGTTATCAAGGACCAGGTATGTCACAGGAAATATAAATTCTTTTTACAATTCCCACTTTTAATGCCTATTAAAAAATGAAATTAAGGAAATGCTTTATGACTTTTCCTGTGACGTCCTGTTCCTCCATAACAAGCCCCAGTCCAGGACACTGAAACACAGACTGCAGCAGGACAGTCTCATTATTCTACATTAAAACAATTTACTGAGATTCTACAGTCACACAAATATTCTACACACAGGGGCTTTAAGTGAACAATAATTCACTGAAAAATTCAAAACTGAAAAACCCATTAAAAAGAATTGAGTTTCTCATCTTTCATTGACTAAGAGTGGAGGAGAGCGCAGAGCGAGTGTAGGAGACGGAGTAGGAGTGATTCCTAGCCAGTGGAGCAGCCTTCGTCGCCTCACGCTGCAGCGCCTTGACCCTCCCAGGAGGGCGTGGTCGGGGGAGGAGCTCAGAGCGAATGAGAGTGAAGCCAGGCTTTTGCCCCTCCCCAGGGGAGACCAGCCACGCCCCTTCCTCCCCCGCTATCAGTCGACAGGAAGCTGCTGTTTGTGTCCGCAGACTGCGGAGCTTTGGAAGAAAAGGCTCAACCAATCAGCTCCCTCGGTCTTTAGCCCCGCATTTTGTACCGGTAAGAGGAGGAGGAAAGGAGGACGGTCAGTCCATCATCATCAGTCACCAATCATCTGATCATTTCTTCATTGAGTCATTCTTTATCATCAAACGATCTAACCCTAACCTGAACACCATGTCCTGGGAGCTCCAACAGTATCAGGTTAGGACTCCTCTGATTGGTCGAGATGATTTCCTGACTTACAAACGTTGATAAAACGCTTTTGATTCTAATCTTCAAAGCAGGACCGGTGTTTTTATAATACATCATGTCCATCCCTTCATTCATTCATCCATTTCTGCATTTCATTTTCCCATTCCTTTGACGGAAAGTCCATCTTTTCACCCATTGTTTATCTTTCAACTCACACACTTCCTTATCGTCAAGTTGCCTCATTGTTTTCATCATCTTGCTGTTCTTTTTTAATTAATGTTTTGTTAATTTTTCCGTTGGCACTGTGTTTCTGTCTGGTCTTCATCCTCCTCTCCACATGGAGGTACATTTTCAGAGAAACCCAAACCCAGCGGGGGAGAAGATGCCTCTCCTGGAGGAAGCAGTGATGACTACGCCTACCCTCCTCCTCCGGTCCCGGTTTACAGTCTCAGTCTTCCCAACTCCCCTGTCTTATACAAAAAGCGAGGAGGACAATCAAGGACCATCCCCACACCCAGCAGGGCTCCATCTTGTCCTGGGATGAGTCCTCTTAGAGCCCACACAGCACCTTCTACTCCTGCAGCTCAGCGCTCCGCTCATCAGCAGGGTGCCAGCACTCTCCCCACCCCTGGCAGGCAAACCGGACCTCATGACAAACACTATGAAGATCCTCTGAATCGTCCCTCGATGCTCTGCTACTCTACCTCTCCTCATCACAATGGATGCCAGAATCAACCAAAACGGACACGAAACAAGCATCAACAACCGCAACTCTGTCCACATCCTCCTGAGTTCACCAAACAGTGCAGCGTGGAGGAGCTCAGGTCAACTGTCCAGACAGTGGCCAGCAGCATCGAGCACGGTACTCAGGACGTTCGCCATCTTGGCCAGAAGATGGTAGCGGCGACAGAAATGATCACTGACAGCGTGGAAGAGAACGCCCAGGCGCTCAACCTGCTGGCTGAGGTGGTTGACAAGCTCCAGGGGCTCATAGTGGCGAGCAAACATGCTGAGTCGTCACCTCCGCGCAGGCTGAAACAGCAAACTCCTCCCCCACCTCCTCCACGGGTCTCCTCAATCTCTCCAAAAGCGGTCCGCAAACCTCCCACGCCTTACCCGCGGCACCGCTCGTCCTCCTCTTCTTCGTCTGGCTCCTCCACAACGGCCAGTTCCTGTGCAGACGGCTTTCCGGCATCTCGGAGTCCGAAGCAAATGAACGGAGGCTATAAAAGGACAGTGGTGACTTTTGGTGCCACCCACAGGTTAGGCATCAGTGGTAGTAATGGACAGGTGAGGTTCAACAATGGATCAGTTTCTGGAGCTCCTCTGGAGGACGAACAAGACTGTAAGAGCACAGGCTGCTTGACAGCCAAGAAGAAGAAGAAGAAGACGAAGTAGATCAAAACAAATTGTCTCCTCTCCTGCTCTGGTTCTGGACATAGACAATAAAACGGACCAGTAGTTCTTTAGCAAATTTTTCACAAACAGGAAACCCTACTGATGTAGATCTAAACCAGCATTTATATCACAACAATGTTTTATTTTTAACAATACGTCAGAAACAGGCAACTATATCAACTCTTAGACAACAAACACCTTTGAGAGACATCAATGGATCTCAGCACTTCAGAAGGAAACCTCCAAATATTTAAAGGTACAGAGAAATTACATTCTCTCAATCCACAGTCCCAATTTCATTCAGCTGTCACCAAAAGGGTGACCATCATCATCATCATCATCATCATCATCATTGTCGTATCTTTTCAGTCTCATATATTAAAGACAGGGACAAAACTCCATACACCAATATAACATGATACTCATTTCATTTAATGCATTATTGGCAAACATTTGATTGATACATAATCAAGATGAGCAACTGAGTTGATGACTGCAGTGGTGACAGTTATATAATTATAATTAGTAAATGGAAGCTCAGGCCCATCTAATCATTGTCACCATTGCTTGGTGACAGACTAAGGTAAATTTGGGTGTCATCTGCATAATTACGACTAAAAGGGGAACTCCATTGTAGTAGTTTATTGTCTCCAGAGGGAGCTGTGTGAAGTTTGATAAATGTCCTCAAGTGATGTCACCTGAGTCAGCATGGGTCGGGTCTGAAGACAAAATGTTTGAAAAGAAAAACAATCTTGGGTTTTCGAGTTACAAAGACATGAACTTACCAGACCTCTTTACCCCACTCATCTCCACTGCAGGCTACAGGCTACATTAGCACTAAATAGCATAACACACCACATTTTCCCACCAAACTTTCGGCGGTCAAGTTTCATTGTGGTAAATCTAGGCACCCGGTTTTGAGCAGGAAGTCAAACAGA